TAGTTTTTGAGCGAACGACGGGGGTACAAAATCTGCAACTTTATATTTTCGCGGTACAAATGATCCCTAATCGATTCTATGAGTAGCGATTGGTTCTGTTCGTGGAAAATGATACTTTACTCTGGAGCTTAATAGGGCTGAGTTCACTGGGGGTTGTTTTAGCAAAATGGATAAATGTATTAATTTTCGTTTTATGGTACAAATTAGTACAAATTCAGTTCTTTGTTTTTCTGTCTTTGGTTTCCTTTTTTGTGTTTTTTTTTGTCCTGCTAGCTTAATATTAAGGTAGCAGCGCCATGGATTTTTTCGAAACGGCACGAGGTACAAAATTATTGTGAGTGGTACAAATTAGTACAAAATGAGTACTAAATAATCCGATAGATTTAAATGATTTCTGCTGATTTGGTCCTTCTAGCTTAGTGGAGGTGCGAAATCGTTTGGACACCCGAAGCCGAAGCTGCCTTTCAGCAATGTAAAAGCGATCTCTCTAACGCCACCCTGTTAGGCTATCCCTCTAACTCAGCAGATATCAGACTAGTTACTGACGCTTCAAACTTCGCCATGGGCGCAGTACTTGAGCAGTCATCTCAAGGTGCCTGGAGCCCATTAGCCTTTTTCTCTCGAAAATTCTCTACCACACAACTCAAATATAGTGCGTATGACAGGGAACTCACCGCTATATTCGAAGCCATTCGCTATTTCAGACATTTCATTGAAGGTCGCGATTTTGTAATACTAACCGATCACAAGCCATTGACCCACGCCTTAAACCAAAAATCGGATAAGGCATCCCCGCGCCAAACGCGCTATTTATCGTACATTGCCCAATTCACTACCAAAATTATTCACATCCCTGGGAAGGATAACGTAGTAGCCGATCCATTGTCGCGCGTCGCAGCCATATGCTTTCCCGACCAAATCCAACTCCATGACCTGTCGGCTGAACAAGCTAACGACGCAGAGTTAACAGAACTTTTAAAATCTCCCAAGTGTACTTTACCTCTTAAACGGTTGACCTGGGGTCCTGACCACACCTTTGTACTGCGACATTACCAGCGAATACATTCGTCCCTACGTCCCCGCGTCCTTACGTAGAAATTTATTAGATGCGTACCACTCACCGTCTCACCCCAGTGCCAAAGTTACAGACCGCTTAATTCGCCAGCGCTATAACTGGCCAAATTTACACCGCGACGTCGCGCGTTATGGCAAAGAATGTACTGACTGCCAGCATGCAAAAGTTTCACGACACGTTAAGTTCGATCCTGATAAATTCGTCGCCCCCGACGGGCGTTTTACCCACGTCCATCTCGATATCGTTGGACCGCTACCCCCTAGCGACGGTTACCAATATTTACTCACTATGGTCGACCGATTTTCACGTTGGCCCGAGGCCGTACCGCTACACGATGTAACCGCGTCATCCGTCGCAAAAGCATTTTATAACAACTGGGTATCTCGTTTTGGTTCTCCACAAGTCATCACGACTGATCAAGGAGCCCAATTCGAATCCCAAATATTCAAATCTCTTCTTTCGTTTATCGGTTTCCAGCGAATCCGTACCACTGCGTATCACCCTGCAGCTAACGGGATGGTCGAACGATGGCACCGTAGCCTTAAGACCGCCCTGATGTGCCACTCCGATACTCCGTGGACACGTTCACTATCCACTGTACTGCTAGGGCTGCGTACTCATTTGCGCTCAGATACCGGTGCCTCACCAGCCGATTTCCTTTATGGAACATCACTGCGTATACCGGGTGAATTCCTCTCATCACCCGACTTTAAACCAAATCCTCAAATCTTCCTCGAAGATTTCCGAGAATACATGCGATCCGTCAAGCCTGTACCCGTAACGCATAATTATAAGTCAAAAGCCTTCTTCTTTAAAGATTTAACTTCTTGTACGCATGTTTTTATGCTGGTTAAAACCAAAAAGTCGTTAGAGCAACCGTATTCGGGACCGCACAAGATATTAGAGCGTAACTCCGACCGCGTTTTTACTATAGATATTAACGGAAGCCCCCGCAGTGTTTCCGTCGAACACCTCAAACCGGCGTACTTCGTACCGGACAACTTAGCTCCTTGCGAACCAACACAAGCTTCCGATTCTCTACCGTCCACTAGTCTTAAGCGTCCTGTTACTTTTAGCGACAAAATTATGGGTAAAACTGTTACCCTGCCTAGTCAAACACAAGAGATTCGCCCTGTTCTTAAGACATATTCACGGCGTAAATAATATACAATATTTTTATATGACGTTACCTATAAATATCTATTGTTCTAGCGTAATCTTTAGTATAAGTTACAAATAAGTTCAAATGTTCGTTAGCATTAAGTTCAAACAAGTTCAAATGTTCTGTAGCATAAGCGCAAAATGCTCCTAAGCATTTTATTTTTAAGGGGGGAGTACTGTAGGCATGCGCCTCTCCCTCACGCAATACTGCCAGCCATATTGATCACATGACCGGCAACGGCCAATCGTAGCTCGGTATTCAGCTCTCGGCAACAGCAGCCTTCCGTTCGCACACTCACTCTATTGTTTTCCGTTACTAA